CTCTCCGCTCCTCCTCTGGAGTGCTCTATGGGGAGCAGCCCCTCCTCCTCCTCTAGTGTGCTGGAGAAAGGTGTGTGTGAGTCAGGATCAACAAATTCTGCTGCTGGCTGGACAGTGGCTGGTGCCCAGTTGTCCTTCACCCGTGTCCTGTTCCCTTTCTGCCCGGCCTTCTGAGATGCAGCAGGAAAGTTGTAATCTAAAACGAGACCCAAAAGACTTTATGTCACATCCTAAGTAACCATGAACCTGGAAAGGCAGAGAGCTGGCCCCATTGTATATGCCTAGCCACAGATGGGGTCCAATGGCAGAGACACTCCAAGAGCAGGTAGCCTGCCACTGAAAAGAACAATCCCACCTGACAAGTGCAGACAGCCTCCTGCACATCCCCCAGCTCCCTGTCCCATCCCAGTGAAGCCATTCTCCCTAGGGATAACTCACATGTTCATTCTCTCCACTCCTTTCTGTCTTCAGGCATTCTCAGGGACAATAATAAATAACAGTTTTGACACCTGGCATGTTTAAAGTGAAGTTCTGAGTGTCAGGAATCAGGCTGACACCCGGAGATTAATTTCACATGGGATTCAGAAAGATATGGGGTGGTAGCAGCAGTCAGCCACTAGCTAAAGAGGAAATACTAGGGAAGAGAAACAGAAGTACAGCAAGCCAAACCCTCCTCCCTGGCCCAGCCAAGTAATACCACCAAAACCTGCATCAACCTGGGCAGCTTTGAAATGCCACACACCCCTTCCAGCCACAAACAAGAGAGCATCCATGCCATGATGGAGCAGCCTGGTCAGAGGGAGACAGCTCAGGAGAACTGCCCATGGAGCCATGAAGTTGTCCCAGCACCTCCAGTCTAGCAGGGATGGCCCAGATGAGCACAGTGGGCAGCTTCTCAGTCACACCATCCCCTTGGGAGTCTGGGTCACACATATGAAATTCCACACCTCCACCTCACCTCTCTGCCACCACCGCCTTAGCTCACCCCGCAGTGCTTTCCACCAGTAGTGATATTACTCATTGCAGCATCCAGCTGTCTTCACACCCACCCCCCAATCCTCCTCCCCAGCTTTTCCCTTCAAGCTCTCTTACAAAGACCCTCAGGCTCTTCTCTGCAGGAACCATCCTGCACAGCCCTCCAAGTCCTGCCCTTTGCATCTCCCAGACCCAGGTCCAGGTCACACAAATTCACTCCTTTCACCTGGGGAGACGACGTGCCCTGGGAGAAGTGAACATGAGCTCCAAACCCCTGCAGGAGCTGCCATTTAGGCGATGTCCTGCTTCCCCCAAAATCAATACAGAACTTCCCTGACACCAGATGGGCCGAGCCTTGGCTCTGCACCAGAGCAGTTTCCCAGCCAGACGTTAATTCAGTACATTTCTGCTGCTCCTCCATTCAGAAAAGCTGCTCTCAGCTACTGCAGAGTTCCCTCTATTTGCACTATTGGCTGTTTAAAGCAACTGGGACAGCACAGAAAAAGGGTGACCCTCCCCGTTTTCAGTACCCACAACCTGACCATATGGTCTTTATTGGTTTAAACTGGAAGATCATGTTATGCAGTGATTGAATTACTGATAACTAGAAGGCATTGTAATAAAGACAAGAACACTCACTCCTGGGCTCCCACCACAGCTCAACAGCACCATTCCTCCTGAAGCACGATGGCAACCTGGGGAAGTGTGAGGTGCACCCTACTCACTGCTTGAAACACAGCCAGGTCTACGACAGACTCTGCTCACTGTTTTGCAGTACAGAGCAGGGAGGCTTACTGCAAAGAGACGTACTCCACTGGATTTACTCCGCAGGGGGATTTCAAAGAGGCAAAATGCAGTTCCTGGTGCTGGAATTGAGCCAGTTTGGGCTAATAACCTAATCTACCAACAAAGCTAGGAGACGGTTCTATTTATGACTCTAAGACAGGCCCACACACACAAGAGAGATCACAGTTAAAGGAAAGACCCATGGTAGCAAAGTGGTTAGGTTTCATCATGCTTGGAATTTGCTTCAGGTAGAGATCAGGCACCCAAGGACAGAGTCAGCCAGGGATAGCTGCACCAGAGTAACACAGAGAAACCCTTTGTCACAGGTCAGCCTCTGCCAGCAACGTCCTGCTCGAGGTGGCTTGTCCCAGGATTGATCACTTGAGGTGTCAGCGTGCACTAAACCAGGGCATAAACAAGAGGCATCCCAGGAGCTGAGCTGGGGCAGGCGGCTGCTCAGCACTAAGCTCCTTATGCAGACAGCCTTTACCAGGTGCTTCACTTCATTAGTGCCTGGGCTGAAGATGGTATTAAGAACATCAGATTTGCTGTCAGTCTGGATAAAGAGGCAGTAGATTTCAGTAAGGCTGAGAGATACTGGGATGTTTCTGGCCAGAAGCAAGTAATTCATCACAGGAAGAAGTGAATCTCACTATCAGAGTTAGGGATGGAAGAGATTTTATCCCTTTAGCTGGTCAGAAAAGTTATTCTTCGAATGCAGTCCTTCTAACTTGTCTGACCTGTGTCCCTTCATCTGTGCTCTGCTGGGAACCCCTTCTGCTAATTACTATGAATAATTAAAAGATTACAGTTCCCTCCCTACCCTCCCAAATCACCACATGCCATCCCAGAGAATCACCAATCTGTGAGACTAGATTTGATAGCTCCCTGCACAGACAAGCCTTGGTCATCAAGGGCAGAACCTTGGAGCTAGAAGAGCAGATCCTGGCTGTAATGAACTGAGCTCTGTGCCAGCCCATCACATGGGAAGATGTGATGCTGCACTCCGATCCCTGGAGATTGCAGCAAGGGAGGAGAGGCACTGAGTGCCTTCATTCACAAGTCTTGCATCAGCTTTTGGGAGCCCACCCTTCCCAGCAATTAGTGATCAGGCTGCCCCAATCTAGAGCCTTCACTGGAAGGGGAACACTTGGGGCACCGTGTTCTGACTGAGCCAAAGGAGAACAGAGAGCTGCAAACCAGGGAGCTCCCCAGGATGGATATGCCACCATAACTCTTTCTCTAAAAATCAGGGACTTAAAGGGACCTGCAGCCCTAATGACTCTCATCTTCTAGCCCTAAATCTAGAAGAGATGTTGCCTCTGTTGCCCAGGAAATCCAGTGTGACAGAAGGGAACATGGGGATTGGAACCCTCCAGGCAAAACAAGATGGGGAAGAAGGGGAAGGAGGATAAGAAGGGAAAGATGCGAGTCCCTGCAGGTCCACTCTGTCTTCAGGGTTAATCTGTGGCTCAGGCCAATTTCATACCAAAGCTGAAACAAAGCAGCCAAACCCAAACTACAAACTGAGAAGCTTCCATGTTCCCTGGAAGCCTGAAGGCAGTGGGATGCAGAAATAGCAGGTTCACAGCTCTGCTGACTTGCTTCTTGGCTGCAATATGAATCACATGCTGATTCTTTCCATAAGGATATGCATCCACATTCCCACCAGACCTAATCCATCTCTCCCAGATGCAGCTCCACTGGGTAGCAGCTGTGCATGGGTGAGCACACATGCACTTCTGTGCACACTCACAGTGAGATCAATCTCAGGGTCCTTCCCAGGCTGGTGTCAATACAGAATTACTGTTCCATAGCATAAGTCAGCAGAAGCAGGTTATTCAGAGGGACCAGAGCCCCAGGCTGAGCTGTGCTCTGCCACTGGGGGTTTGTTCTTACTAACAGCTGGCCCCCAATGCCACATGATTCCTGAAGTACTCTTAAAGGATATTTGAGTGCACTTAAAACCCCAGAGCAGCAGCTGCAGATTGCTATTTGTTGTTACCTCTTGTAGCCTCAGACTCACACAAAGGCAGAGGGGTCCCCCCACGGACTGCAGAAGGACATTACAAAATTAAAATAAAGAAGTGATTAATAGAGCTTTGCCAGAGGGGAGATTGAGATGAGCTCTGAGGCAGAAGCTCTTCCCTGTGAGGGTGCTGAGACGCTGGCACAGGGTGCCCAGAGAAGCTGTGGCTGCCCCATCCCTGGCAGTGTTCAAGGCCAGGTTGGACACAGGGGCTTGGAGCAACCTGCTCTAGTGGAAGGTGTCCCTGCCCATGGCAGGGGTTGGAACTGGATGAGCTTTAAGGTCCCTTGAACCCAAATGACTCCATGATTCTGTGGAATCTCAGATCTGGCCCATCTGCACAATCACCACCAATTCCAGGCCCAGAGTCTCTGCACCAAACACAGAAAGAAGCCAGCACAGGTCGACTTTCACAGCAGGGAATTTCTCTCTCCAGTAGTATCACAATCCTGCTTTGTGCCTTGGTTGATACAGGGTCTCAAATCTGTGCCTGGGACAGAGCTACCAACTATGCCAGACTACACTTCACTGTTGTTCAGAGAGAAATTCCACAAAATGAAAACTTATACCATAAGCTTTTTTTTCCCTTTTCCTCAAACAGCAGCTGCTTGAAACTGTTTAATGGATTTATACATTGAAAATAACCCAACAGATGTCATCACACAGCTCCAGCAGGCATCACATGGAATTGCCACACATGCAGCATGTAAGGGCCGTCGGTTGTGTGCGCCTCTCGTGCAGAGGAAGGCTGTCCAATTTAGGGATGCTATTACAATATCCTTTATTGTAAAATGACACACAGCAGGTTTCTAATTAAATTTTCAGTAGAAACGTGCTCCCAGCTCTTGAATAATTCAAACTGTTCTATTAACCACAGCTCTGAAACACCACCGAGACACGAGCTCTGGCCACGGCAATGGCCAGGGGTAAAGGCAGTGCTGGGAAGCACAGCGGTGGTGAGCTGGGCACTGCATAGGGCAGGGGTGTGTAGAGGACAGCTGAAAGAGCACATCTGCTCATGGAGGAGAGCACTGCAGGCGAGAACGGAAGCAGAGGGGAGCGTGTTGTGCATACAGATGGGAGGAGGCACGTGCGAGAGGCGAGGCTGGTTCGGGCTCCTCTCAATGCACAAGCACACGCTGGTCTCCAAGTCACGTCCAGGCCTGAGCACACGCAGGTGCCCGCTGGCACACTAATAACAGCGCTGCCGAGCGCGCTGCCAGCGCCCGAGGGGGCTCAACCACAGCACGGCCCAAGGATGCGCTGGTGGGAGCATGCAGCACCCACCCCAGCGTCAGCACAGCTCCCCACGGCCAAGCCTGCAAGTGCCCCCGGGCCACACGAGCCACAGGGCAGCAAGAGCATGGACAGATGAGCTTAGCAGCAGTGCCAGTGAGCAAAGGGCTTTGGGATGGCCCTTGCCCTGCACAGTGCATCCTGTGTCGCAGCGGGCAGCCTGAGGCACAGCCCTGCCGCAGCCCTCAGCGAGGTCTTCTTTAAGGTCACAGAAACAGGAGCAAAGATAAAACAAGACTCGTGCTTTCTGCCTGCACAGGGTCAGACAGACCTGCTGGAGGGAGGCAGTGAAACCAGATAAGAGAGGAGGGATAAGGCTGAAGCCTGGCCCCTGGGTAACACTTAATACATGCCCCACATGACACTTAAGAGCAGGAGCATGTGAAATAATCTCCTAAGCTACTGGAAACCCTGCAATGCTCCTCCTCCTTCCTCCCATCCCTCTCCCTGAGAGCAATGAGGGGCTTGGGGGATTCAATGGTCTCAAAAAACACTCCAGAGAGGAAAGCAAGCTCGGATGCTAACATAACTCATTTTGGCCATGAGTCCCCCAGGAAGAAAACAGCACAGGGGAGGCAACAGGACAGCTGCCCAAGGGACAAAACCAGCTGCCTTCTCTAGGGTCAAATCCCCACTGAAGTCACAGAATGAGGAAACCAGAATTTAGCCCAGGGAACCCAGCTCTGACTCAAACCCCAGGATGGCCTTGATCTTGAGACCTTTAGGTTGTGCTTGAATGACAGCAACAGAAAGAAGGGAGTGGGAAGAGAGCATAAAAGGGGGAAGGAGAGAAGGAAGGGCACGAGGCAATGGGAAGCTAGGTGGAGGCAATACTCTTCCCAGCTCATGGCAGCTCAGGAATAAAGGCTCAGCTCTAACTTGGTTTCTAAAGCCTGTGCTTGCTCAGGGTTCACTGGGGACACGTCAGGCACTGAGGTGAGAAAATAGAGCTGACGTTTAATCTCAGGCCCTCTTAGCGAGAGTTGTGTCAAAGCAGGAACACAGATCCCAGCATCCTTCCACCTTCCTGGAATCCCACAGCACGAGGAGGACAAATGGGTTAAAAATAACCTACCTGTTGTGGGTCCCAAGTCCAGGCTGGAGTCATTGAGCTCCCCACCATCTTCCCAGAAGTACTGTGGGGGCTGTAAGATCTTGGACTCCTCATTCTCCTCGCTGGCAAAGCCTGATCCTGGGGCAGCATGCAGAGAGACAGGGGCAAGATCAGGCTCTGCAGGCTCCGGGCTGGCTTGTTCATGGGAATTCATGGCTTCCAGGTGGGACATCACAGCAAACTCCAGCAGGGACGTTGACGTGAGGCCATCGGCGGTTGTCTCCTCCGAGGAGGCAAGGCAGAGGTGCAAGGTCCCTGTATGGTGACAGTAAACCCGGATCAGAAATAGGACTGACACCCACTAAGTTTGTCCTCTGCTCCTGCCAAGCCAAGCTGCTGTGCCCAGCTGCCTGCAGGTACCCTGCCCCTCGGATGGGCTGTGCTCTGAGCTGATGAGGAAAACTGGGGTATTTTGGGAAACAACCATAACCATGAAGAGTGTTCACAGCCAGGAGGAGTTGGTGCCAAAAGCCATCCAGCCTGCAGCACCAATCTTCAATGTGACAGAGCAGGTTCACCCTCACTGAGGCTTTCTGCCTCTTTGAAAGTACCATGGGGTTGTTGAATAGCATCCTGGAGAGGAGGTGGAATGTCTGCTACTTAAACCAGGAAATTCTGGCCCTGTGAAGTCAACTAGTTTCCTATCCAGCTGTCACCCAAGCGCGATTTCACCCTGGTGCGCCTGACCCACAGCTATCTTACATGCAGGAGGACTGATGTACAATAGAATTATTTACATCACCAATATCAATCATGTTTAAACTTTTTAAAGCAGGCTGGAAATCTATGGAAGTCATTGACTTCAACTTCATTTTGCATTCACATTTTTTGCTGTCATGAGGAAGGGCTGTCACAGGTAAGGATTCAGGTGCACCACCAGGAAACAGCGACCAAACACCGAGCAGGGAGGCAGGCTGCACTTCACACTTCTCCTTCACCAATTACATCCTTGTTATCTCTATTTGATCTACTAGAATTTGACTGACACTTCTCGAGTCCTAGATGAGACTTTAATTGTGATTTGTGTCAAGGTACATTCACATGCATATTGAACTTCAATCAAAAAGCAAGAGAACAGCACCTGGAACTTGGCTTTATTCAGCCGATAAATACCATGATAAATATGGAGACAGAAGGAAAAAAACGAGATTACCAAAACATGTTTTACATTTAAAACAGTTTTGTTAAGCAAGCAAAGTATCTCATTTGGGTGAACTGAACCAATTGCTTCCCAGCCCTCTGTTCTTCAGCACATTAAAGCTCGAAGATCTCATCCTCTCGCAGCTGATTTTTATTCATAGATCAGAAGAAAGGACAAGTTTTCCTGCTTCCTCAGCTCATACTGTGCTTCTCAGCTCTTAATGAACTAGTCACTGAACTGAACTAATTGAATAAACTGAAATGAAGACTAATTTGGTATTTTTCTTTGATAACTGATTTGTTAGACAAGAGAAATGCAGCAGATCTAACCCAGCTGTTCTTCAGTACAAGATCTGGTACAGTGCCTCGTGCACAGTTACAGGAGAGGCAAGAAAAGGCACCAGCGAGCAGGAAAACAGTAAGGCATTGGCTGTATGAAAACGTGAGAGAGGCTTGTGCTGAAGGGAGGCCATTAGTGGAATTCCTCAAGGTCTCTCCTTGAAGCTGCTGGTTTTTAACATTTCCCTTAGTGACCTTGGAACAAAAACTAGGAACATCACAATGAAATCAGCCAAGGACACAAACCAAGGAGACTCCTCCCTGCACAGAAGGACCGCAGGAACAGCTAATGATGATCCCAAGGATGGCAACAACAGAAATATTATGAAAAGAAATAGTACAAAAGTCACCACCTCGAGAAGTAGCACCAGACGTTCCTGATACACAATAGGAAACCATCCACTAGAAACGCTTTAAGAGGAGAAATTCCCGCATTAGGAACAGCTCTGCAGCACCACTGGAACACAGGTGTGGAAATGCTTGCACAGTCCTCAAGTATCAGAAATAGATTTTCCAAAGCACTGCTGAGCCATCACCTGGGCACTGCACGCAGATCTGGAGCCACGTGGCACGAAGTGATTTAAGCAGAGCTGAACTGCCTTCAGGCAAGGGCACAGGCCAGGCCACCTCCTGGGGTTCCTCCCCACCACTGCATCCTACAGCTCCACATCCCAGAAGCACAACTCTATATCAAGGCAAGTGCCAAGATGGGCTATGGGGCAGTGGCGGAGGGGCTGGCCCTGGTGCTTTCATCAACAACACTGGCTTGTAGCACAAAAAGTTTCGGAGCTGCTACTCACTTGATTACCAAAACCTGTCCTGGGAATGCTGGAAGCCAGAAACACATTTCTCAAGCCTTCTGACTGCTCTGACCCTCTCCACCTTCCTCCACTATTCTCCCAACTGAGCACAATCCAATATTGGTTACTCTTTACCACACACACTTGGGCCAGGCTTCAGCACGTCTCCATCTCATTTATTTTGTTCTATTGATCCAAGGCCAGCGCAGCCACAGACAGGGAACAGCAACACAGGCAGAGTATCGAAGGGGAAGGAAGGTTCTGCAGCATCACAGAGCCAACCAAAGCACCTCTGGGCATCCCTGGGGATGGAACAGCTCCCTGTGAGCTGTGCACACACAGAGAAAACCACAGCTGGAAATGAGAGCTCAAAAGGAGAGTCTCTTGTGCACAAACACGACATGGCCAGGCCAGTCCCTGCGCCGATCCAGAGGTGCTCACCCAGCTCCAACGTAATGGTGCCTAGACTGCCACAACAGACCTCTCATGGAAGGGGAACCTGGGCACCCTAGCCTGCCACAACAGACCTCTCATGGCAGGTGAACCTGGGCACCCAGAAAGCTCATCCCAGCCATGCGGGAAGCTCAGATCCTGGGAGTTTGTTTACCCTCCTTTAACTCTCAAGTGTTTACCCAGTTAAACCCCTTAAGCTGCATTATCTTATTTACTGGGATGCTCTGCTCTCCTCAGCCCAACATAAAGCTACACCACCTCATCCCTAAGAATGAGTCATTAATAGACAGACCAAGCAAGCCAGGTTTCTTCTGCGGTGGATCTGGAGTAACACAATGCCTTGGGACCTGATCCACAGGCACAGGATGCCGAGGCTGGCCTGGGGAAACCCTCCATGCCAGCACCAGCCCCAGTGCCACAGGGCTAAAAGCACCATTGCACAGTGTACAAACCAGAACCTCTCCAGACAGGATCCCGACACCACTCTTGCAGCAGCAGTGAGAACTGAAAGGCCTGGGGCGCCAAAGAGCAGACCTGAGATTTGCCACCGTCCCCCTCTCTTCCAAGCATCTCATAAAGGAGCTCAACGCAGCTGTCAACAGGCAAAGAAAGACTGAAAGCACGAGCTGAGCTGAGCTGGAGACAGGGAGCACAGCTGAGAGGGGAAATGTAATGCCCAAGACATGGGTGGGTGACTGGCTGTTTTCCTCCTAGGGAGAGGACCGGGGATTAGTCGTCTTCTACCAGCCATCAGTCTCCCAATTTTGTATTCCAAAAGGCACATCAAGCAATAGGAATAAAGCAGCACAAGAATAAAGCCCTGCAAGTGTAGATGGGAGGGAGCAGGGAACGGAGCCAGGGCTTGCCAGCTGCTTCAATGGGGCGTTTGTCTCTCATTTCTATTTTTGCGGCACCTCTGCGTAACCTGGAGGAGATGAGGCTCTGCATGCTAAAGAGGGAGCCAGCCCTGGGGCTGAGCACGGGAGGAAAACCCTTCCCGGAGCAGACACAGGAGGGGGAGAAAGGATGGAAAGTGGGAGAGGCAGGTGGAGGGAACAAAGGCGGAGAGGGAGCATCCAAACCAGCCTGCAAGCGCCGGCGCTGGCTGCGAGCCCTCCAGCTGCGAGCACCCACAAAGGTGACACGTGGAGCCAACACTGACCTTGCAGAAGATGCTTCCCCACTGTAAGGAGCAGAAGGAGGTGGTTTCCACAGGGAATAAGAGCACAGTGTTACCTTTCCAAGGCCACTGAACAAGGGCCAGCCAGGAGGACACAGATGAACCGGGTTTGCTAGTGCTGACCCCACGGGCCCCTCGGAAAACAGCTCCAAGGCGAAGTGGAGAAGCTCACCCTGTTCAGCACAGCAGAGGATTCAGTGCAGCGGCCCCAGACAACGCAGATGGGGGAGTTTTGCTCAGCAGCAAAAAAGAATGAAATAGAATCTAAGGGAAGCACATCTGCCACCGCTCCCCAAGTGCTGAGAACAAGAGCAGCTTCACACTCCTAAGCAATTCTAAAAGAACCCCCAAGTATTTTCTCCATTAACTGAGCAAGAACCACATTATCCCTTTGCCACAAGGCAGGTCACCTCTCCATGGGCTAGGACAGCTGGTGAAAAGCTCCCAGCTGGCCCAGGACTGAATAGGACTAGAAGAGAAAGAGAAAATAATTCGTTTCTGTATCCAGCTGAAATGAGAGAAGGGATCTGGGGAGATGAAATGGGATCTGGCTCTGACTGTGTCAAACTGCCTTTAAAATTTTCTTGCTTTTTAATTAACAACAAGTAAACCTTAATTTTCTCTCCAAGGAAAGACACAAACATCCCTCAAGATGTCATCACACCGGCTTGACCTGCCAGGGGCTGGTGTGCCCTTCGGTCTGCCCAGCTGAGGGACGGGTTTACCTCTCTTTCCCGGGTGCTGTGGCTACACCACAGTGCCTGTGAAGGGCAGAGCACTCACCTGGAGCACATGCTCTGACTTACCCATCTCTCACTAGCAGAGCTTGTTCAACACCACTCAGGCACGGTTACACTCTGGGTACCAGGGAGGGGGTCAGAGCAGCTGGGTGCTGCCAACACAGCAGCCACAACTACGTCCATCTGGCCCTGCTACCGCTGACCTTCCTTTCCAGGCCACCCCAAACCCAGGAGTTACCCAACAACGTTATTCCCTTGGAGAGCTGGGTCAGGAATGGGTCATTTACTGATAATCAGTTAGGACAGAAACACAATGACCAGATGAAGGAAGCATCTGCCAGGGATATTCCCTCCCTGGAGAAGCCGGGGAGCAAGGCCCAAGGGCAGAGAGGGGAGAGGCCCCAGGACAGAACAGCTCATGGAATACACCAATCCCAGAACATAACAAAACACAAAGCAATTTAAATAACAAAAAGGGATCCCAACCGAAGACAGCTGAAGGACTCCAGGCTGATTTCCCCACACTCACCTGGAGTCTCCGCAGCCCAGACCTCAACAGCTTGCACAGGAAGCACATGGGGTGACCGTGTACGAGACCAAGTC